AGTTATAACGTTTGCCTTTGTTTAGTTTTGTTCCACTTTTGACTTAACTTATATGTGGCGTTGATTTCCTTTTTGCCACAGCGTTCATGTTCCTCATTTGTTTACTAACATCCGATTTTAAAAGTAACAGTGACCAACTAACAGTCCATCACAACTTTCAGACAAGTTATGTTCAATCTAAGATAAAATTACTGAGTATGCTACTCTTAGTGCTCAGTAGCAATTTTTTTTTCAATCTTGATGAATTTTACAGACTTACGAGCCGAAAGATTTGCGGCGGTGGGGACGCCAGGTTTCCCCGCCAATAACACAACACCGGATGCAGTGTCAAGTTGGAGATTATAGCGGCTTCTTCGTGGCTTCAACACCTGCATGATTACACATTTGTATTTATACATGTATTTAAATGGTTGCAGTCGTAGATATGCAGTGATGTTATATGTTGTTATACCGGCACAAACATGGCCGCCGTTGAACTTCTATTGTTCTGCCGAAACAACTGATGCTATACCGCCATGCATTGCGAAGCACACTCGTTCTTTTGGACCGGATTTACAGTTTCTATACGATTTCTTGAGCCGGCGGACACCCTAAGGCCGGAGTGCTACAATTCCGCTAAGAGCCTCGAAAATCTCATATCGATGAACAAAGATTTCCAGCCGACTTCCCATAGAATTTTGGGCATATCGTTAGTTGCCTCTTCAATTGTGGTAGACACTGTACATTTTGACCCTGAAAATATATTTTTACACTTTTTCTATACAATATAAATGCATACAAGTTCATACAAACTTCAAACATTATCTCGATTCTTTTAGTTATAAAGGCTCTTGTACGTTTTTAAGGATTTCTGGTCTCTGTGTATGGATTTAATGTCCTCGGCCAGCCCAGTCGAGTCCGTACTTCAGCCGACGGCGTTCTGTGCGGGGCTCCCAGCAGCAGCTTCCCGGCCCAGTTCTGCATCCGTTGCAGTTTTCGTATATCTTGCTCTGGTGCAGTGTCCCATACAGTGTTTGCCGTAGATTACGTTATATATATCTGGTAATTAAAAAATACTGTTGTACAAGGTAATGTCATTTCAAGTTAACTAAAATTAGTTTTGGAGACAGATACATCGCTAAAATGATGCGAAACAAACAAAACCTAGAAACACCCGGGTGCGGCAAAATGTTCTCTCATCGCGGAGTAACTACCCTGACATGTTATCTCTTTATTTGCTCGATTTCTATTCTTTCCAGCCGCCTCCCGAAGTCCGGTAGAGGCTAAACAAAACCGGTTATGATCACTTATGAGTTCTACGAATGAATAAAAGTCTTGCAGTAGAAATTGCAAAATTGCAAGCCCTTTGCACTTCTAGGCTATGTTTATAATCTAGCACCAAAAACAGAACGCTCTACAGACATTCGGGCGTGGATAGATCTTAAGCTTATCATCTTTAGCTATTCTTTTTGATGTTAAGATCACGTCAATGAGTGATGAGCTGTGTTCCGTTACTCTTGTTGGCTCCTTCCTTAGTAGAGGTCACACAAGAGGTTGAGGTCTTCGGTCGGACCCTTGT